TGATTCTGTGAGCTGCAGCTGACCACGCCCCCCTGCAGCTGACCACGCCCCCCTGCAGGAGAGGGGAGCGTGCTCTGAGATCAGCTGCTGGGCTGTCAGAAGAGGGNATATAGTTAAAAAAAACGCAATATATATCACAGGGGGAAAGAAATCGCAATGTCAGTTTTTTTCAATATCGTGCAGCCCTACCGTGTATTATTCTTATATTATTATATAGTCGTTATTCGTTCGTTTTAAAAGCTCAATAAATAACAAAGAAGACCTTTGACCGGCACTTTTTGAATTTTGTCCGGAAGATTCCAACTTTAACGGAGATGTTGACCGGCGAAAAAAAAGATTCAACGGAAACTCTGCCGCACGGTTCCCTCGTCCCTTGGAAGAGGCGGAGAGGTGGGTGTTTTTCATCTGCTGGTGGACTACCGGAGAGATTTACAGCAGGAACACACGCTTGCCTCAGGGAGGGACATTGAGCCGATTGCGAGTGTCGGAATACTTTTTTGATATCGAATTTGGTTCATTTTCGTTTCTGTTCCTGTGTAAATGGGGCCTAAAGTTAACAATCTAAACCAGGGGTAGCCAACACGGTGCCCGTGGGTACTTAGTCACCCGCAGGGGAAACGTGAGTCCCCCGCGGGGCATGTTCTAAAAATAGTTCGCCAAGCAAATCCAAAATGTAAAAATTACAAAAAACAAAAAAGGAAATGTAATTAAAAGAATCTACCCTATGCATAAACGAAACCTCAGTCATAACGAACTCTATCTACTTACTACAACTCTATATCTATCTAACACCCCTCCTCCCCCCACCCCACAATGAATATCGACCAATCGCGTTCTTGCTTGATTTGCGGAACCAGCATTGCAGTCGGGAAGAAAAGCAATGCGGAGCGGCAGTGTGTAAGGAGTTTGACCGTGATTTTCCTTCTGGCAGAATCTACACAACACATTGAACACAGCCTAGTCGTGCCAGCCTATACAACACATGAGGGGCAGAGTTTTACACTGTGTGTGTTGCAACTTGCATATATATTTATTGCACTTGACGCA